AACTATAAACACTTCATTTTAATCACAAACTTGCAACACAAAAAAGAATTTGTGACAATAACTCAGAAGGGAAAGAGGAGAGGGATGGAACCAATTAGGATAATGGAGATGAGGCTATCAGAAATGTGAATGTCTCATCTATGAGGTCTTTTATACAAACCTCATGGTAACCACAAAACGAAAAGAGCAGAGCCACAAATCATACACAAAGAGAAAACCCTCACAGAAAACCACCAGACTGAAATGGCAGGCAGGGAAGAGAAAAAATGGAAATAGAGAACAACAAGAAAACAAGGTAAAATGGCAGTATTATACCATCACATACCCATAATCACTCTAAATGTAAATGGATTGAATTCACCAACCAGAAGGTGCAGAGTGGCTGGATGGATTAAAAAACAAGATCCAACAATATTTTGCCTCCAGGAAAGACATGTCATCTCTAAAGACAAACATAGGCTCAGAGTGAAGGGATAGAAGACAATACACCAAGTAAATGGCAAGAAAAAGAAAGCAAGTGTGGCTGTACTTATATGAGACAAAGCAGATTTCAAGATAAAAATTACAATGAAAGAGGGGCAGAATATAATGATAAAAGGAACATTCCACTACAAGAACATAGCACTTATGGATATATATATACCTAACACAGGAGCACCAGAGTAAAGTAACTAAAGGGAGAAATTGATAGCAACACAATAATAGTAAGAGACCTCAACACTCCATTTACGTCAATGGATAGATCATCCAGACAGAAAGTCAATAAGGAAATTGTGGCCTTAAATGAAACACTAGATCAAAAGGACTTAGATATTTATAGAACATTCCATCCAAAAGCAGTGGAAGACATATTCTTCTGAAGTTCATATGGAACATTCTCAAAGGTGGAACATAGTTGGGAAACAAGGCAAGCCTCAGTAAATTTAAGAAGGTTAAAATCAGAAATCTTTCCCAACCACAATGCTATGAAACTAGAAGTCAACTAAAAAGAAAAAATTGGAAAAGTCACTACTTTTGGAGTCTGAACTTCATGCGTCTGTTCAACCATTGGATCAATGAAGAAATCAAAGGAGGAATAAAAAAATACCTAGAGAGAAATGAAAATGAAAACATAACATACTGACTTTTATGGGATGCAGTAAAAGAGGTACTGAGAGAGAAATTTTTAGCAATTCAGGCCCATAACAACAAACAAGAAAAATCTCAAATAAATAATCTTGAACTACACCTAAGAGAACTAAAAGAAGAAGAGCAAAGACTGAAGTCAGAAAAAGGAGGGAAATGATAAAAATTAGAGTGGAAAAAAATGAAATAGAGACTAAAAAAACAGCGAAAAGGATCGATGAAACTAAGAGCTGGTTCTTTGAGAAGATAAAGTTGACAAGCCCTTAGCCAGATTCACTAAGAAAAAAAGAGAGAAGGCTCAAATAAAATTAAAAATGAAAGAAGAGAAATTAAGGTGGATAGCACAGACATATAAAGGATTATAAAAGGATGGTATGAAAAACTATATGCCAACAAATTGGATAAACTAGAAGAAATGGATAAATTCTTAGACTCATAAAACCTCCCAAAACTGAATCAAGAAAAAGTAGAGAATCTGAAGACCAATCACAAGAGCTTGAAACACTAGTCAAAAACCTCCCAAGAAACGAAAGCCCTGGAGCAGATGGCTTCTCTGGAGAATTCAAACAAATATTTAAAGAAGATTTAATACCTGTCTTTCTCAAACTGTTCCAAAAAATTGAACAAGATGTAATGCTTCCTAACTCATTCTATGAGGCCAACATCAGCCTGATACCAAAACCAGACAAGGTCAACACAAAAGGAAAATCCTAGGCCAATGTTGCTGATGAACCTAGATGCAAAAATTCTTGATAAAATATTTGGCAGCCAAATATAGCAATACATTAAAAGGATTATCAAGAAATGATCAACTACAGCAAAGTTGCAGGGTACAAAATCAACTTAACAAAAGTCAGTTGCATTTCTATACTAACTATCTAGCAGAAAGAGAAGTCTACAATACAATCTCATTTATAAGCACAACAAAAAGAATAAAATAGCACAGAAAAAAAAATTAACCAAAGAAGTGAAAGCCCTATACACTGAAAACTATAAGACGTTATTGAAAGAAATTGAAAACAACATAAAGAATTGGAAAGATATTCCATGCTCATGGATTGGGAGAAGAAATATAGTTAAAATGTCTATATTACCTACAACAATCTACAGACTCAATGCAATACCAATCAGAATCCCAATGACATTCTTCATAGAAATAGAACAAAAAATCCTAAACTTTATATGGAACCCAACAAGACTCTGAGTAGCCAAAGCAATCGTTAGAAAAAAGAACAAAGCTGGAGACATCTCAATCCCTGACTTCAAAATATACTATAAAACTGTAGTGAAACAGCATGGTACTGGCACAAAAACAGACTCTCAAATCAATGGAAGAGAAGTGAAAGCCCAGAAATCAAACAACATCTATGGGCAGCTACTCTTAGACAGAGGAGCTGAGAACATACAATGGAGAAAGGAAAGTCTCTTCAATAAATGATGTTGAGAAAACTGGACAGCCACATGCAAAAGAATTAAATCGGACCATTATCTTTCACCATACACAAAAATTAACTCAAATTGGGTCAAAGACTTGAAGGTAAGATATGAAATCATAAAACTCATAGAAGAAATATAGGCACTACACCCTTTGACATTGGTCTTAGCAGTACCTTTTTGAATCAACCATGTCTACTCAGACAAGGTAAACAAAAGGAAAATAAACAAGTGGAACTTCATCAGACTAAAGCTTCTGCACATAAAGGATCAGCACATAAAGACAACCCACCACTTTGGACAAAATATTTGCAAATCGTATATCCAACAAAGAGTTTATCTCCATAATATATAAAGAACTCACACAACTGAACAACAACAACAAAAACCCGATCAGAAAATGGGCAAAAAATATAAACAGACATTTTTACAAAGGAAATATACAGGTGGCCAATAAACGTGAAAAGATGTTCAATATCACTAATCATCAGGGAAATGCAAGTCAAAACTACACTAAGGTACCACCTTACACCTGTTAGAATGGCTAAAATCACCAAGACAAAAAATAGCAACTGTTGGAGAGGGTGTGGAGTAAAGGGAACACTCATACACTGCTGGTGGGAATGCAAACTGGTGCAGCTACTATGGAAAACAGTATGGAGATCTCTCAAAAAACTAAAAATATAACTACCATACTACCCAGCTATCCCACTACTGGGTATTTATCCAAAGAACTTGAAATCAACAACTCAGAGACTTATGCACCCCTATGTTCATTGCAGCACTGTTCACAATAACCAAGACATGGAAGCAACCCAAGTGCTCATTGACTGATGACTGGATAGAGAAGATGTGTGTATACACAATGGACTACTTATCCATAAAAAAAGACAAAATCATCCCATTTGCAAAAACTTGGATGGATCTTCAGCGTTTTATGTTAAGTGACATAAACCAGACAGAGAAAACCAAACACCATATGATGTCACCAATATATGCAAGATAAACACATGGATGAAGAGCGCGGATTAGTGGTTACCAGAGGAGAAGCGGGTAGGATGGTGGGGTAAAGGGGAACATATATATGGTGATGGATATAAGCTAGACTTTTGGTCAAGAGCATGATGTAGTCTATACAGAAACTGATCTATAATAATTACACCTGAAGTTACACAACATTCTAAACCATTTTGACCTCAAGAAAATATTTAAAACAAAATCAAAAATGCTGTGTTTCTTATCTCTTATTTTTGGCGACACCCATTTGCCCTCTGACCTCCAGGCTCTCATGGATCTAAGAAGAGTGTTTTCATTTCAAGTTTGTTCATTTTCTTGTGAGGTCAAGAATGAGAGCTTGTAAATTCCTTAAGTGTCATCTCAGAAGTTGGCAGGGCATCATCTCGAGTGGCTCATGAGGAAACACTTCCTCTTGAAGTTGGAGAATGGGGATTTTATGTTCTGTTGAAGGAAAGCTCTTTCAAATCCTTTACAGATTCAATAATCTTTGCCAAATTGACCATCAAGCCTTTGTGGACTTAAGTGAACTGCCTTGCAATCTGTAGCTCTTAACCTGGCTCCAGGCCAGCAAGGCCCAGGGCACACTGTTAGAATTTGACTAGAGAGAGCTCTTACGGCACACTGTCATTTCACTGTGTTCTGACATTGGTGGGAAGCAGCCTTGAGGCATGTGAGCATACGGATATTATTGTCCAAGTTGTCCTGCCTTCTTAATTGTGTCTGAGCTGTGACTTCCAAATAACTTTCTGTCCTCATCTAATTTTACAGGGACGGAAGGGAGGACCTGAGCCTATAAGAAATATTACACAAGTTAAAAAGCAATGTCCTCACAAGAATATTTACATTCAGCCATCTACAGCTGGTTACTTGTAATGATGGCCTGGAGTACTTCAGGACCATCTGCCCAGTTGGGCTTTATTAAAAATTTGATTTCTACATGCCTCCTAGACTCCTTGTTTGGTGATAGAAATAGACAAACTTTCAGTTCTTCTCTTATGTTTTTCTTCATTGAAACCTTATGCAGATTTGTATCTTTGCCTCATGGCGTGCTGTAAATGGTGAGTAATAAAGATGAAGATGAAAGAATTTTCTCTTGTAAGGAATCATCATTCTTAAAATGATAATATTTGTTTCTTTTTATGTCATATCTGTCATTTCCCAACATGCTCTGGACCCTGCCATTACAGAGAAATACAATGTAATGTGATCACAGTAATAATGTGTAAATAATTTCTTGTGTACATGATGCTGTTAAATTGGTGAGGAACTGTGTAAAGAAAAAGAATGCATTTTTGATGATCACATCACAGAATACACTTTTGGACATGACAGTATTGTACATAACCTTCTTACAAATGGGAGTATGGGTGTCCAGTGCTTTGAGTCTTATTCATCCTGCTGTGCACATATTTGGGATGTTTTAGGACTCAGTGGTCATTGAGGACGTGGCTGTGAACTTCACCCCAGAGGAGTGGGCTTTACTGGATCCTTCTCAGAAGAAACTCTACAGAGATGTGATGTGGGAAACCTTCAGGATCCTGGCCTCAGTAGGTAAGAATGAGGACATTCCTTCACTGCATCAATGAGAGAACAAGTGTATCTTGCCCATCAACATTGTTCTCAGATGTACAAGGTGGATGGGGGGAGGTGTTGGTAAATAAACTGGAAATGATCAAAGCTCATCATGAGCCTAGAATCTAAAAATGTTTCTATAATTTCTAATACTTTAAAGTCAAGTTTATGTGTCTGCATTTCAGGAAAAACACAGGAAGATCATAGTGTTGAAGATCAGTACAAAAACCAGGGGCAAAAACCAAGGTGAGTGACACTCACAATAGAAAGCAGTGTCTCATGTGAGAATCCTGGTATGTAATGAAATTTTAGAAAGAAGCAAAGAAGTCAAATAACCCTTGCTTCAAATTTAGCTCTTTTTACAAAATTTTAACCAAATATGCTCTCTGAAATTTGATGCAGAGATTCCGTTTTTGCAAAGTAGTCACTTGGAAATAGTATTAGCAAACCCTATATATGATTGTTACTGTTTGGATAATAGCAAGGATGAATTCCTATTGCAAAGCAGTCAGTATATTCAGTTTCAGACAGTTCAGATGAGACAGCACACCTAAACTTGTTCTGTAAATCATAAAAGATATAACAAATATGAAATCATTAAAAATCTCTTTTTTACAGAAGTCATATGGTAGAGAGACTCTGTGAAAGTGAAGAGGGCAGTCAATGTGGAGAAAACTTCAGCCTTACTTCAAATCTCAATCTGAACAAGAAAACTGCAGGAGCTAAAGCATGTGAATACAGTGCATGTGGAAAAGTCTTAATGCATCATTCATCTGTTAATAGACAGGTTGGATGTCATATAGAACACAAACCATGTAACTATCAAAAAGATGGAGAGAAGCCATATAAATGTAAGGAATGTGGGAAAGCCTTCCCTTTCCCCAGTTTTCTTAAAATACATGAAAGGACTCATACTGAAGAGAAACCCTACAAATGTAAAATATGTGCTAAGGCCTTCAGGTTTTCCAGTAATGTTCAAGTACATGAAAGAACTCACACTGGAGAGAAACCCTATGAATGTAAAAAATGCAGTAAAGCATTCACACATTCCACTTCTCTTCAAAGACATGAAAGATTTCATACTGGAGAGAAACCCTATGAATGTAAAAAATGCAGTAAAGCATTCACTTACTCCACTTCTCTTCAAATACATGAAAGAACTCACACTAGAGAGAAACCCTATGAATGTAAGGAATGTGGGAAAGCCTTTACAGCTCCATCAAGCCTTCGATCACATGTGATCTTTCACGCTGGGAATGGACCTTATAAATGTAAGGAATGTCAGAAAGCCTTCATTTCTCCCACTGCATTTCGAACACATGAAAGGAGTCACACTGGGGAGAAACCATATGAGTGTAAAGAATGCGGTAAAGCCTTCAGATGTGCTAGTTCTCTTCGACAACATGAGAGGACTCATACTGGAGAGAAACCCTATGAATGTAAAATATGTGGCAAAGCCTTCAGGTTTTCCAGTAATGTTCATGTACACGAAAGAACTCATACTGGAGTGAAATCTTATGGAGGTAAAAAAGGGAGTAAAGCTTTCACTTTTCTCACATCATTTCAGAGACGTGAGAGAATTCACACCAGAGAGAAACCCTATGAATGTTAGGAAAATGGGAAAGCCTTTTTTTTCTCATGAAAACTTTCAAGGATATGGAAGCATGTACACTAGAGGAAAAACCACATAAATGTGAAGAATGTGGGAAAGCCTTCAGGTCTCATCTAGTTTTCCAGATACATAAAAAAATCTTATTGGAGATTAACTGTTAATGTAAAAATTGTAGTAAACCATTTAGTTTCCCAGTTGTCTTCAAACACATGAAAGAACTCACACTGGAGAGAAACCCTATGAATGTCAGAAGTGGGAAAGCCTTTGTTTGTGATGCAAACTTTTGAGGATATTGGAGAATACACACAAGTGGAAAACCCACGTAAGTGTCAAGAACGTACCTGAACATATTTGTCAATATGTTTTCAATAGTTTGATTCCATGTCATTAAGCTAGGTATATTTGCTTTGGAAATGAGCACATCTGTAGTTGTTTCATTGATGTATTTTATCAACTGTTCTAATCCATTGAATGCTACTAAGTGTTATTCTGGTTTTCATTTCCTCTGAATATGTTAAAATCCATGTTAATTAGGGATTTTCAGATATCCCTTGCAGTTTTCTTCATTTAACCATTATACATTATGAGTTTATTTTATCATGTGCTTGCAAATTCAGATACTTTTTCCTCAGGCAAACTCTACTTTTTATTCTGTTATAGTTACAATTTCTGTCATGAAACTAATTTCTCATCCATTCTTAACTGAAAACTTGACAGTCATGGTTTTTCAGTGCCGTGTTTAACTGACCTGCAGGATTGCACCTGTAGTCAAAGAGAGGGGTGTAAGGAATTCTGGTAAGAATGACACAGACCTAAAGGACTGGAGGAATACTGGGAACAGAGTGCTCAGAAGGACTTCTTACAAGATTTCGGCGTGAGTGTGTGGATTTGATTGCTATTCAAGGAAGCAGGTCATTTTCTGGATTGAATGTTGTGAGCAGGTAAAATTAATTCTATCTTTGATGAGTATGTTATCTGTGGTAAACCTAATCATTGTTTTCTAGAAGGCAGAAACAATGCAGTGGAGCTGAAGTTAAGTTGTAAGAAGTTCCAGTGAGTCATTTCAGTAAAAAGGGAATATTAGTTATCTTTATAATTTAGAATTTTATCTTTTACCATTTTTACTGGTATGTTTACAAAATATTGTTAGTTTTATCTTGGTAACTATACTTTTGAGGAAGGAGGTGTGTGACATTTTTCCCTTGAGCAGGGTAAGACTTGACCTTGCAGTGCATGCAGCCAGCTCCTGGTCCTCTGGAACAGTTGTTGTCTTTCCTACTTATAGTCAAGACACTGATGTATTTCCTGCGGTGAATTAGTGTTGATCATGAAGTACCTCGTTTGTAATATGTAAATTTGGTTCTTGGCATACTGCATAATATTAATATCTCTTTTATGACTCAACTGAGGCCTTTGAGTTTAGGTAAATTGTGAGACAATGAAACCCAGCCAGGGAGAGAGACAGGACCACTGTGCCAATCCAGCTTTCCTTTCTCAGAGGCTGTGCTGTTGATGCTAATGTTTCAGCATCCCTCACCTGCCTGCTCTATACAGGCAGTGTACCCAGTGCAGCTGAAGTAAGGCCCAGTGGGATTTGGATATAGTGGCTTGAAACAAATGAGTTCTTCCAGTCCTGATGCTTATATGTTTGTGAGAAAAGAGAGAGTATTAATACATGGTAAAGCTTTGTCTGATAAGATGGAATTAAGGGCTTTGAAGAAATGTAAAAACTAATGTGAGCTATTGGGTGGCTGAGCTGTGTATATATCTGTTCTGCGAGGGTAGGAGTGAGTGAGGATGTCATTATTATCTGGGACCTGAAACTTCCTATTGATTTAGGCCACAGATATTTGTGGTGTCTTTGTTTTTAATGTCATTTGAGAGGATTTTTATTTTACCTTTAGATACTTGAAATATTAGTCTTTGTCATTTTCATTTTGCTCCTGTATAGACTGAGTGTGCAACATGCACCCCAGTAAACCATGGAGTTCCTCCCACTTAGAGAGACAGTTGCCTTCACCTGCCCTGTTCTAGCTCATCCTGAGTGAGTTCTATGGGTAGAGTGACATCTCTGTGAGTCTGCTGTGATCTCCCCGTGGAAACAGCACAAAGAGCTCTGGCTGGTTAGAGGCAACCATCCCAGGAATAATTGAGTGAGCTGCAGAGAGAGGGTGTCATTCTGAGTAACATCCTGAGTATAAGAGGAGAGAGAAAATAGTGTCTTTTTATCCCAGGAGTAGCTGGAAGTTTTTGGCTTCACTGATCCCCAAAGCCCCTCCACCCATTTTGCTGTTCACAGGTTTCATTTCCATGTGCTTAGACGCACAAGTCCTGGAAAAGTGGGAAACAAGAGTAACAGCTACAAGGTTTTGTTTTTGTTTTTGTTCTGAGGAAGATCAGCGCTGCGCTAACATCTGCCGCCAATCCTTGTCTTTTTGCTGAGGAAGACTGGCCCTGAGCAACATCCGTGCCCATGTTCCTCTACTTTATATGTGGGACGCCTACCACAGCATGGCTTGACAAGTGGTGCATGGGTCCGCACTCAGGACCTGAACCAGTGAACCCCAGGCCACTGAAGTGAAACATGCAAACTTAACCACTGTGCCAGCCAGCCAGCCCACAAGGTTTAATAAAGAGCAAAGTAAGCATTAATCTTTCCCAATTTTTTTAGTGTTAACTTACATATTGGAGAGGTTTCATTCAAATGGGCACCACAAGAGTGTTCTTCTTGGTGATGGCATGTTTTGCATCTTTTGATGGCTGTATTAGTAAACATTTGGAAATTCACAAGTATACCTAAAATATATTTATATAATTAATGGAAAATGAATAACTGAATTGTTTCCTATGCTAAGAGAATGTTAAACTTCTCCTGAACCTCTTTAATGCATTGACTTTTCTTTCTAGCCTGTGGGCTCCTTCTGCAGAAGAATTGAAGGCTTGGGCAAGAAGGACTCAGTCCTCAACAGGCCTTTCTTGCAGCCCTGTCTTAATTGAGAAAACACCCCCTAGGGTTGCACGTGCCCTCAGCTCAGAATCATAACGGGAGTGAAGTGAGAGGGCTCCCAGACTCTGTCCTTGAGTTTAAATCAAGTGTGTGGGCTGATCTTTGGAAATAACTGTGGTTCTGAAGCATAAAAGTGAATCCCGGGAGGGATCTGCCTGGGGACATCCTCATCCATGTGCGTCAGCATCAGTTCTTTTCACTGCCATCCACAGACCATTTCCAGCTCTTCATTTCCCAACTCAGGCCTGCTCTGTGCCTGCTGAGTTGGAAACATCTTTAGAAATCCACAGATATCCCACTCTGAAAAATTTCTCTGAGGCAACAGGAGGGGGCTGTGAGCTGAGAGGGTGACAGAAGCGCTCGTAGAACCCATATCATGGGCACATTCTGTCAGCCACAGTGACCACAAACATCGCATAATTATTAGTCCTGCTTTCTTACTTTGTCATACAACACTTACACTTTGGCTGACTTTGAATTGGGCCACAAAGGGCTCTAGAAATTTTTGAAATAGCTGTCTTCCATTAGCCTCTCCCTTCACCATAGAGGCTTGTAGCAGCCTCCCACTGTGCATCCCAGAGTCTCTAAACCCCTCGCAGTGGACATAAGTTGCCCAAGGCCTTCTTGTACCAGAAACTATTGTCATCCAGTGCTGCACACAGTTAGAGAAGCAACTGATGGCAACTCACAGAGTATTTTTGTAAATGGAGGCCCTCTGAGGACCTGGGTTGATGATCTTTCACAGCCAGCACCCATTTTGCCTTTGGGCCTGATTGCAGGACCCCTCAGACTTGCCAAATAGAGGACAACTATTTGAGGAGACATCGGAACTTATAGGATAGAGCCAAAAATGGCGCTTCTGGCATATCACCTACAGGAGGAGGTGTGTTACCCTCTTCTCTGATTGAGGTAGTATATTCTGGAGGAGGTCGTCTCCTTTTTAGACACATTGGCCATTTCAGGTGTGATTTGGGGACACATAAAGGACTAGGGAGTTCTTATACTTTATGCACAGTGTGCACTACCACACCTGATGGGTCCACTGCAGAGTTGCTGTGTTCTTCCCCAGATCAAACAGGCCAGCCCTGATCACAGATTGTGTCAGACTGGTGAGTCAAACCCCAGGTAGTCATGCCGGCAACAGAGAATTCCCTGGGCAAGAATCCAACTCATCTGCACATTGTTACAGATCCTTTTGCAACTGCCAGTGGTCTAGCTGTCGCATCCACCAATAGTAACACCTCCTTAGCCAAGGTTGCCCCTCTGCCTAAAAGAACCCTGGGATACCTACCTCACACACCCAAGTACAAGTCAGGTCACTCCTTACTCTGCACATATTAAACCTCAGTCTGCAGGGGCTCATTTCCTTGCTTGGCGATAAATTCACTCAAATTTCTGAGACACATACTGACCCCTCAGACCTGATGGCATTAATCTTGACACATGGGTCCCTATAATACAAAATCGTTGAGGTCTCTAACCTAAAGACCTAGGCATGATTCAAAGGACTCCCCTCTGCTTCCATGGACAACTCAGTTCTGGACCAACACACCTGATGTGAAAAACGTGTGACAGGTAATAGAATCCATGCACATTAAGTGCAGGTGGAGGAGGGGTCCCTACAGCTGGTGGCAGGTGGACTTTGTCGGGCTGCTCACCCTCTGCTGAGCTGCTTGCTACGCTCAGACCATGGTAGAACCTTTTATAGACAAATTGCTCATCCTGTTAAACATGATCCTCCTGCAGCCAGAATCAAGGACTCACCAAGACACTAGAAATTATTGACTTTATCAACTAAAGTCTCAAAGTATAAAACACTAGGCTCTTGAAAAAGGTGTTCAGTGGATCTTGTACCTCTGTCATGACCTAGGCTGCAACCCTGTGGGGATTAATGGCTTGTTTAGACAAACTTGCATTCTTCTAAATGGATGTTCCTGCTGTTTGACTCATTAGTTACATACAATCCCCAGTCTTTGGGGCTTATTATTTTGTTCTGATCACCAGGCTCACTGGCAACAGGTAAGTGGAGCCTTTCTATAGGTGACATTTCTGTCAAAATGATCATTCCTGCAGGTCTTTGGTTTCTTCTACTCATGCCCCCTGGCCACCACTCTCATATGCCACTCCTGGTCTTCCTCCTAACATTGCCTGTAGTCTGTGCCCTGTGTCTCAATATTTCATTTTGGACACCTGCCTTCAAAACACCAAGTCCTGGGGCTGGCTTGGTGGCGCAGTGGTTAAGTTCACACGTTCCGCTTCTGTGTTCACCGGCCCGGATCCTGCGTGCGGACCTACACACCACTCGTCAAGCCATGCTGTGCAGGCGTCCCACATATAAAGTAGAGGAAGATGGGCACGGATGTTAGTTCAGGGCCAGTCTTCCTCAGCAAAAAGCAGAGGATTCGTACAGATGTTAGCTCAGGACTATCTTCCTCAAAAAAAAAACCCAAACTGGGGCTGGCCCCATGGCCGAGTGGTTAAGTTTGTGCGCTCCACTGCAGGCGGCCCAGGGTTTCGTTGGTTCGAATCCTGGGCGTGGACATGGCACCGCTCATCGAGCCACGCTGAGGCAGCGTCCCACATGCCACAA